TTGTCACCTGCAGTGATTTGGGTGAAGATGGTGTCTTCTGGTACATTGGTCAAATCAACTTCGCCAGGGGTTGATTCCAATGGGTTGCGGGCATCTGCGGCAGCTGATTCATCATCTGACTCTGCGTCGGCGTCTCTCTCAGGTGCAACCCAGTCATCGGTCTTTCTACCCAATGCCAATCCATCGGCAACACCCCATGTAAGGATCTTGTTGTCTTTGGTAAGAGCAGCTCCGTGCATACCACCAGCAACCATCTGAACAACACCACGAGCAGTGAGGGCGGGGTTCTTGACTGGTCGATTGATCGTATCTTTCTTGGTTTGAAGACCAAGACCAAGCTCTCCAGCTTCATTGCAACCGAAGACATAAATGTCCAAGAGTTGAGTAGGAGCGAAGTTGATAATTGTCTTTGGCTTCACAACCTTTGGTTTGACAATCTTTGGCTTGACGACCTTTGGAGCCTTGGGCTTTGGAGCGGCCTTGGGCTTTTTGACTTTGGGGAGAGGCTTCGCAGCTGCTTTGGTGGCAGGAGAGGGTTTGGTAACTTTTGCCTTCTTCGAGGGTTTTGCGACAGGCTTATCGACATCTTCGGTGGATTTGCGCTTGTTTGATTTTGGTGCAGCAGGCTTTGATGGAGCGGCTTTGGCGGCAGCGACTTTCTTTGCCATGGCAGCTTTGGTAATGGTTGCCTTCTTGACGGTGACAGGTTTGGTAGCAGTGGCAGTCTTCTTGGCTAAAGCTGCTGCTTGTGCCTTGGCTGTCTTCTTTGCGACCGCAGGAGAGACTTTCTTTTGAGGCGCGACATTTTTTGCGACACCATTCTTTTTGGGTGCGAGAGCTTTCCTCATGACTTTTGAAGTATTTGCCTCGACTTGAATGTTCTTGGGAGGAGAGGTTTTACGAGATGAGACTCGAGTAGGAGGTGTTGGGATCTTCTTTGGTGGCATCTTGTCGGATGAAGTTATTCAAGCTTCAAAGATGACAAGAGACGCGATAAAGTACGGTTCTCGCGGATAAATCTTCGAGTGATGGGTGGATTTGAAAAGAGCTTTGAAAAGTTTGCCGTACGAGAAAAAGCAATTACAATTCGAGACGATTGAAAAATTGAAGTAATTGATCGAATTCAATTGAAATTGAAGTGATTGTTGTGAATTGTAAATTGTTTGTACGGTACGAAGTTGTGTGCGAATAATCTGATTCCGTCGCGTTTCTTTGAATCAAAATCAACAACTCGGCAACGATGAGCTATTGTTTATATCGACCATACTAGATTGGGCTTAAAGCTTCGGGCAGATAGTGCATGCTAGCCGTATCCGATTATCGAGGGATCTACCGCCTACTACGTTTAGACTAGCGCCGTACTAAGAAGCCCTGAGTGAAGAATCGCCACAAAGCTACAGCCAAGCTAACAATTGAACTCAGGGCTAATTCCACAGTATCTCAGTACATTCAGGTCATTCGGTCATTCGATCATCCAGCCATTCAAAATCTTGATAGGTGTCACATGACTAATCATATTAGTAATACCTCAGACTACCATATCGACGAATAGCGACGCGACATTTAAACCATGTACTAAGATGTACTAATAAGCCACCACCTTTAGTATGAACTTGTCACTCCTCTAAACTAATACTTGATGAAAGCTTATATATACTCGACATACTCATATATACAAACCGTCGTCATCGCCAACAAGTACGACCTTCAGCACAAACGGAAATATCGGATTCCTTGTATACGGATTCCAAAGAATTATAGGGGTAAGTGACAATTGGCCCAATTTATTACACGATCCACACCTCCCAAACTTTGGTCTCTTTTATGCATCAAAAACTGGTACAACCGTGACACGCCATCGTGGTGCAATACAATTATTACTCAAGAGTCAAGTCAGTATCTCTCCGTCTTTGATTTTTGGCTTTGGACACCAATTGGTGTCTCAAGGTCTGGATGAAACTATCACTCAGCGAGTCCTCAAGAAATTCCAAATCAAAACGCTGTATCTTCTGTACTCCCAAGGAGAACCTACCTTTGTATCTTATGTATTCACGAGCGTATGTGTTATTGACAATGATCTTTTAGAGCATCTGGACTACCAGACGCTCATTGGCCTGAAGCTTTTGTGTTCCCTTTGGAAGGTCTTCATAACATAACGTTTTGCCATTATCTTCCCGTCGTCCGTCACTCATCCATCTCTTTATCTTATTATTCAATTGGTACTCTCAAGATTCCAAGAATTTGTAACCCCCGATCACTTCGAGGTCTCAATATTGAGTAGCTTAGAAGTGTCTGAGCTTTGTGTTAAGTCTATACTGTCCAATCTTTTGATTTGCAGGGAAACATTTTTTGCTTATTTTGCCCTAATCGTTCGCGTGGTGACTTTGTACTCAGTTTCGTGTTTGGTTTCGTCCGCACCTCTATTTCTGGCCTTTAATGCTTGAACATATTGCTCCAGATGTAGATAGGGCGATACAGATTATGATTTGGGGGACCCGGGGTATTTTCCGTTTTTAAAATGGATGTATAATTATGATTTGTTTCTCAAGGGAACACGAAGTAGTCAAGATACCTTTTTGGTCTGTCTTTGCGGTTTATCAACGGATCACAATGCCTCATTAATGATGGCCATCCCATGTGGAAGTTTCTGAATTGCTTTTACGACGTAATTGAAGATACTCAAGCAATGATTGCACAGCAAATGCTGCAAAATGAGATTCATCAGAATGCAACGTAACACGATGAAGCTATAAAATGGTTGACGACTGTACAAGTTTTCTTCCATTTTCTGCGTGTTGTTAATATTCAGTTCAATTTACTTTCTTTCGATAGAGAAGAGAAGAAGAAACTATCAGCAATTCTTCAGTCAAATTGGATAATAGAAGTATTTAAGTCTTTAGACTTTGTGGAATGTTGGTTGATATATGCAAACTTTCGTAGGTCATGAGCTAGTATATGAGTATATAGTATATAAGAGGGAATTGTTATATGGATATATATATAGTAGTAAGCTATCAGGAAACAATCCCTGATACTGTGCCTTTGGACAGATTGCGTGTGTGGCGTAGTGGTAAAGCTTACAACTCCTATTGTGTCCGCTTACGTAACAGAGTATCAGGGATTTTACCTTGTGGATATCGTTCTGGGATCTCTGATTTCGGGCTTTTAATTGGGACTGAGTGAACAACCAATTGAAAAGTGGATCGAATTAGGGACGAGGATGTATCTGCTTAATGATTGGATATTCTGAATTCATTAATAATGGATTATTAATGGTGAGGGTATTGGATAATAGAAGAGTGTTATTCTATTATTACAAATCATATGGTTGACTATAGTATAGTATAATAGCCCCTGTACTAGCCTTTTCGGGACGAAAAAGGTTAAAGAGGAGGGCTCTGTTATATGGATATATATATAGTAGTAAGCTATCAGGAAACAATCCCTGATACTGTGCCTTTTGGACAGATTGCGTGTGTGGCGTAGTGGTAAAGCTTACAACTCCTATTGTGTCCGCTTACGTAACAGGAATAGACTAATATTAGTCTATTATGGGAAGCTGGCTCGTATTAACAACTAAATAGCTATGAAACACGTGATTTTCATGAAACAGTATATGATATTCTTATTTTCTTTTTTCTATATTCGAGGGGGAAAGGCCTTATTTTATGCTTTTTCCTACTAATCTAGCTTTTCACTTTCGTTTATTTCTCGTAGATCTCTTCCTAATCCGGCCATTCCATCAAATAAAGCTTTTCTTTCTTATTCCTTATTCGATTTCGCTAGTACTATGTCGATCTTACTACGAATGGATTGAAAGAACTAATAAAGAGCTAATAAAGAATTGATTTTCAGGCCGTTCTGGGCTAAGAGCTCTCTTAAGCGACGATCATGTGATTTGATCATGTGATCCTGTGATTCGCTCTTAGTATACTATATGAATATAGAACTATATATATAAAAAGATATATTATTATATTATTTTTTATATAAAAACAATACAAACATATAGCATCAAACATAAGAGTTATCGAACATACTCACCGCACACCGTGATGTTTTGTGACATAATCCCTGCAAAACTCATGTTTTTTCTATATAAACTAAAATATTATATAATTAATTCAATTATAAATATTAAATTATAAAAAATTCATATTTAGTAATCTTAATCATTATATATATAAGATATATTAGAAGATTGGGTGGAAGAGGCCTCTATATTGACTATATAGTTACGCGTGTAAGCATATTGATCTCCCCGTAGTATTATATGAGGGGGTCAATATGCCTGTCTATGGTTCGTCTAATCTAGCCCGTTTAGGTAGCCGTATTACTAATCACTACACGTGCTTAGCACCGGTAACTTCTATTCCTTTTAACAAGATATTTTTTAATCTATTTTTAAATATTTTTGTTGAAAAGTTATATAAGCTTTTAATTGAAAAAACTTGAAATTTTTAACTTTTAACGCTTTTTTCATATAAAATAAGCGAATTTTCGAACTTTTTCGAACTTTTAACTTTAACCCTTAAAAAATACTAGTATAAAAATATTTAAAAATAAATAATATATTTTTTAATAGATAATTTAAGTAATTCTAAATCTTTCTATAATACTATATTCAATTTTATTTCATATATTCATAAATAAACCAGGGTATAAAAAGCTGAATAATTGTATATATTAGCCAGAAAAGCGTTACATGTGCGGTGAGTAGGTTCCAGAACTCTTACATTTAGGCAAGCTTGATGTACGCAGTAAAATGCTTAGTAGCTTGGCAATCGCCCTGCGAAAATTCGCCACAGCGTATGCATCTCGAATTCTAGGCCAATCAAGATCAACTCAAGATCAACTCTCGTGACTTCATGCAGAACCCAGCCTCCACTACCCTTATTTTATAACTACTGCTTTCCACATCGCTGCTGGGAAACGAAAACATCTTTATTGTTTGTTATTCTATTGACATCCGCAAACGAACCAGAAGTTCATATTGTGGAATGGCCTCCAAGTATCAACCGGACACCCAATCAAGTGACCTATCATGGTTATGTTCTGAAGGACCATATGTAAAATTCATCAAGAGCCTTAAATCACGGAACCCCTCCATCTATAAGCCAGACCCCAAAAATCATAGAATTGGATCCCGAGTGGGGACATCAAGATCAGTTGCTCTGAATGTTTGCCCTGATCACACAGTAACATCTGAACATTTCAAAAATGTTTCCGAACTCAAAAACCACTTTGCTCAACGAGTGAAAGACGATGAGAAGGGAAAACCAAACACAATGCAGAGGGTGTATATTATCGAAGGGCTAGATCCGCAATTTATAGAAGCATATGGGTCATACTTCTTTATGAACCCAATTTTTTTCGCTAGACAAGGAAGAAATACAATATGGGATATGCGTGATATCCAGGAAGGATTTAGTGATAGCCCTCCTTTACCCTCACTGGAGAATCCGGATAAGTGTTTTCGTCTCAAATATCGTGAAATGAGAAAATTCGGTCCAGATTATGATCACTGGCGAACGATCTGTGCGACGAGTGGATCACATGTTTCGGGAATTGGTTTCGAGTATAAACTAGACAGTCTAGCTGCAGTGGAGAGAAAGTGTTCCTTTTGGTTCAGGGATGCTGCTGATAACCAAGAAGGGTGGGATGGTATGTATGGAATTTATCATTTCATGTTGAACATATGCGCGGATGCTCACGGAATACTAACATCTGACTCTTAGCTGTTATTCTCTGTGAGCCACCAGTCCATAAAGTTTATCGCGCGCGGAGCCTTTTCCCGCAAGAGATCAAAAGTGAATTATTTCAAGGTGGTTATATGGATTTTCTCGACCTTGATGTCTTGATCCGAGACGGCTTGAATGGGGCATTGGATGGACCCCCCAGAACCTGTATGTTTGATGATCTATGCTTCTACTTCGAGCATCATAGCCCACTTCTATTCGAGATGGAAGGAGCGACACCCCCCTTGATTGCGTCTGCTTTCCTCAAGAAAATTGTAGCTTCTCATTACATAAAATTGATTGACTATTTCGAAATAATTGTTCAAAGATTGAAGAGGGTAAGTGCTTTTTCTCATGCCATCATATATCAATTCATAACATTACTACTATTAACACTCAACCATTAGGCAGAAGGGACTACTCTCCCGTCAAACTGATAAGCAAGACTACAACTCTTGGCCAGAACAACGCGAACAATGGTCCAGTCTACAACTCACCTATCGCTTCCTCTCAGAATACAGTTCCGATATCCAATACATCATTCAAACCTTGAGAATTTCCACCTCCCCACCATACCCCACCCATTACCTCTCCTCAACCCTCGACTTCCCCTTCATCCACAACTCCCTCTCAAATCTCTACAGCCGCGTAACTACAATCATATCCTCAACTCAAGGTCTCTCCTCCATCGTCGCCAACCGCGAAGCCCTACACGAAGCGCGACTTTCTGTCCGCGAAGCGAAGAATTCGAAAACGCTTACGTTTATTGGGTTGGTTTTCATACCGTTGGCTTACACCAGTGCTCTTTTTAGTATGAGTGGTGAGTATCGACCGGGTGGAGAGGAGTTTTGGGTTTATTGGGTTACGTCGGTGCCGATTATGGTATTGGGTTTTGCGGTGACGTGGGCGATGCAGTTTGAATGGGATGAGCGTGGAGGGGGGAGGTGGTGGGGGAGAGCGAGGATGACTGGGAATAAAGGGGGGCAAAGGGAGTGGTGACAGGAATAAGGTACAATGGGGGGAAAAGAAGTGATGTGCTGGATCTTGCATTTGAGCTTGTTATGTGGGAAATTTCTTTGCATATTTTTAGATGATATCTTTCATATTTATCTCGTATTGATGTTTTATCACCGCAAGCACCTCATTTCTACAACTCTATCTCCAATACATTATCAAGAAGTACAAATAGCAGGAAATACATAATTCTCTGCATCCCATTCGTCTTTCACAATCTTTCAATCCCCAAAAAACTATGAGCCCTGAAAAATCAGCAGGGAACCAGAAATTTTCATCCTTCCACTAACACTCGTACATTGCGGAATTACAATCATAAGTCCCAGAAATTATATCACTTTCAATAAAACTTCTTCCCTTGCAGAAATATCTATTCATATCTACCGAAAACACCCATACTGCATTGTTTACCGATTTGAAAAATGAAATCACTGCCGATTTTGAATTATTCGTATGTGGGTAGTATTTTTTTCATAATGAGCCTTAGATACCTATTGAGGATTCTTTTCTCTTCAGATTTTTAAACTGTGCTGTATGGAACGCGAAATGTTGGTGAGAACATATGTTCTTGTATTCTGGGTATGCGCTGGTGAGGGGGAGAGATCGCTATTTTTGATTGTATGTTCAATCGATCAGGAACGATTGGGGAGGGGAGAGGGAGTTGCTTGGAATTAAGTATGAGAATGGTTGGAGATGGGTTTTGTTGTTGTTGTTGTTTGGTGGGATGGGATGGGTTGTTGATGTGTGTTTTGTTATTGTTATCATCATCCTCGTCATCAATCAGTTCCTACAGATACCGCAATGAAAATGACATATTCACTATTTCGGGAAGATACTACATCAAGTTCCATATCTTCCACCACTCTTTCCTTAGGTTTTCGAGAACAGCAAGAGATATTCCCAGCAGAGCATAGGATTCTCGAAAATCTTAACTTTGTCCACAAAACCATGAGTGGAAGAAAGATGTCCTATTTGCTTCGCAATTTTGTCTTGTCGGATTCTTGGGTCATACTTTTATAGCTGGATATCTAGCTTGGATATGTATTGTTTTTCAATTTCGATTTCGAATTCTGAGTATACTGGATTTGCGTACACTGTATAAGTGATGTAAATCAAAAGCGATGATTTTGAAGGTATCGTCGAGTCCGCTACTTGTGTATGAGAGATGGGGATACATAAGTCAAGATGATGGATTGTTTTATTTTCCAAGACAAAGGAAGAGGCACGAAAATGTAATTTCAAAGAGTTGAGATGTTGGAGATTGCATTGAGATTGAGATTCGTGTGTGTTGAGCGTTTTCTAAACTTGATTTCGATGCAGTGGATGTGATTACTGGGAAGGTTATTATTAGCAAATACATGGATTTATTATTGTTATTGAGTATTCGAAGTTTTTAGTTCTTGCTGTCATTTATGGTATCAAGAAATTGAACCAAAGTTTTCTCTGTCTTTGTTGATGTGTGCGAATAGCGACTTATTAAATGACGAGCATCCGATAGACATTTTTACTGTTATTTTTCTTCGGATTGTTTGATATTTACCGTCGGAATAATCATCTTTTCAATTCATTAACCACCAAGCCGGGCTTGTAGTTCCATACCCTCGAAGTGAGTGTTAAACTATGAACTGTGCTCTATCTGACGCCGAATCTCCTCTGCGGCTTTGGTATTTGTCCCATTTCATGATTGTGTAGATAAGAGGGATGTTTTGCTCGTGCATTATACGGTTAAAGTGTTTGTGTCAGACTATGGATCAAGTGATTACCATAGTGGTATTTCCACCTTCTCTGCGCCGAAATATGTCCCATAGAAATCCAACACCAAGAAGTCACTCTAGCTTTATCACCGTCTAACATTCTACTCTGAGTTGTCTCTTCGTCTCATCCCAGATATCTGTACCGCCGTATTCAAATTTGCTTCATTATCCTCGATCCACTGACTTTCCATTCTCCCCAAACAACTTCACATATACTCCACCCAATCAGATCAAGTTGCGAGAGATGATCACCCTCAAATACCCAAGTAGGTAGTCGATACATTGCCGGTAGATGTCTCTGTCACTTTGAGAAATGTGGAAGACGTATCCTGTTGATGAGTTGAGATGATAGCAATTCGAATTCTCGAAGTCTGTAAAGAGTAGTTATTTCGAAATGCGAGGTCAAATGTACCACATTTCGAGGATTGGAGGGAGTATATTGAAGGAGAACCGGAGGGGATGACTATGGATAGATATCACCGCCAAAGAACATCCAGAAACGCTGCTTCATGTATCAGTGAGTTTGGCAGTTAGCCAAAATCAATGATTCTCTAATGTTTGAATATCATCTCAATGCAGCTTTACAATATATATCTCTTACTGAAAGAGATACAGATAGAATGAGAACTTTAGATAGCCTTGGAAAGCTTTGGAAAGATCAACGTGAAACCAGACATTCAGAGTGTGTCTATCTAGCCAAAGCAATCTCCAACCATCTCCAACCATCATGAGCAATGTTGAACAGCATCAAAGTATATCATTCATCTACACTGTTTTAGAGAATCAATCCACTTTGTCGATATTTTCTACCCGCTTGACTAAGGCATATTCAAAATTATACACATTGATAGCTTTCACAGATAACTGAATCACATACATTTTGCACAGTAAGCCAGTGCATTTGAGAGGTACTATTTTACAAAGAATTCTTTCATTGAGATTTTGATTAAGATACATAAATTTCAGTCTTGTCAAACTCCGTTGTTCCCTGCCCATGACCCCCAAGCATATATTACACCTAGGCAACATGCCAATGATTCAATCGTCATGAATGGTTGGTTAATAATGAGGTTAGTAAAGCAAAGGCGAAGGAAGTTAAGCGGGAACTCACATAGATTAATGTAACAAACGTGCTGGGGCTTTAACACGGGACTTCGAAATGTGCACCGTGGCTTCTCCCCGTTTCTCCAGGCGTACAAGAGGATCTCTACAAGGAGAGGTGTCCGTCATGGGGCTTTAAGACATTGCTGCCGCTTCTCCCCGTTTCTCTAGCTGCACAAGAGGATCTCTACAAGGAGAGGTGTCCGGCGCGGCATGGGGCTTTAACACGGGACTTCGAAATGTACACCGTGGCTTCTCCCCATTTCTCCAGGTGTACAAGAGGATCTCTACTGGGAGAAGTGTCCGTGACCTCGGGGCGTAATTCTAATCAGCCAAGTCGGAGACGATCTTGCTGGATTTGGAATTCTATTCGGATTTGGAACTCTAATCAGCCAATTCGGAGACGATCTTGCTGGATTTGGAGTTCAAATCGGACAAGTCGTGGTTGGAGTTGATGTATTGTGTCGAGTTGGAGAGAGGAGAAATGAGATGAGTGGAAAGTGCGCAGACTTTATAGAAGTTCTGCGGAGAGGCCAGTTGGTGCAAACAGGACAAACATGGCTTATTTGGGAATAGGATAGATCAGTAGTGCAATTTGAAGAAAAATCGTTATCTGTCAACAGGAACGTTTTCACCGGTAAGGTTTTCAATACCTCCAAGCCTAGCTTAACTACCCAATACGTTTATAGGAATTTGTATGCAAATCTCTTAGTAATGGACAGCTGTTGTCTACCCAAATGTCCTCGCAGTTGTACATGTTAGTGTAGTCCAGTCATAAAAGCATAATCTTCTCGCTAGTCAATACAGAAGGGACAGGGCGATCGAGTGATATCGTACCTTGAACCATTAGGGCGAAAGTTAATGTTGACTGGAAGTTCGTATGGAAGGATCGGTTGCTGCACACGTACCATGCACATTCACTAATTGGCACACTTGCACACTTAGTTTCAAGCAAAGTTTCATTCTATTGATTTTCAAGTCATTTGGCCACTTCTCTATTCACAAGATCAGCTTTATTGAAAAGATCTCCTTAGTTGACGACCCAGGCACAGTAAAAATCGATATAATTGAGTTTCCTAGATTCTGACGTGCTCAATCTGATTCTCTCCAGAAGATAATGTACTAATGGAAATTAAGTGGGCCATCCCATCACTTTATTACCCGACGACTGTAGCGATCCCGCCCTTTTAGTGCGGGGCAACATATCAAAGTTTGTGACGATTAAATGGTAGGGCAAAATTCTTTAGCCTCAGCATCAAAAATTTCAAGACTACAATGGGTCAACTGCAGATAATTTACGGCATTAATGAGAACATAAGCTTATATTTAATCAGAACATTATTCAAACTAACATCTAAAACAATGATTTCAACATAAATGTTATTGGAGTAACGGAATTTCAAACCCGTCGTACTAATGGTCGAATGCTTTCTGTCCTTCCGCTTGCAGAGAGCTGAAATTACTTACTTTGTTTCGTGCAGTTCACTTAATCGCTGGGGTACCCATGCGGCCAGGAAGTATGTGCTAAATATAAAAATTCGAAGTTAGATACACATACCATCACATGGTAAACTAAAAGAAAACTTGACTCACTGTATGACCACAACTAACATTAACATGAAAAGATGCCACCGAAGCCGGGAATAACTACTCTCGCAGTATAACTTCCAAATCCAGTATCGTGCTGGAAACCAAAACGACGTCGCTGACGCCCTGAGTCGGTACAATTTAGGAGAAGCAAATTTTCATGACTAGCCTCCCCTCCTCTCATGGAGATTTTCGGCGAAAATGAACCCGGGTTTATTTACAGAAGAGTCATACACTATCCAGTCACACGATTATGTATCTACTAACTTCCTTCACTCAGCTTAAGCTTCTCTCCTCTTGGGCCTGATTTTCGTGCCAATACGTAATTATTGAAAATGCAAGCTACATCTGAACTGAAGAACGGCTCACTTTGTCGAATCATTCGATGATGCACCCGGCTTAACTTCTTCATCTGGATGTAGACTCGTCAACTGATGCTCAAAAAGGGGTGGACTCAAGTTGGACTTCCTTCACGAAGGAGCCCGAGGCTTCGGAGACACTAGAATTTCAAAAGCACTTGCTTTTGTGATACAGAAAAGTAGAATTTGCCGACGAAGAAAGTTTTACTGTTTAGTGGCGTCGACAGTTGTCAACTCTTATTGCGTGATATACTAACAATGCAAGAAAAACTTAGTACATGATGCATCAACAACGAGAGAGACTTAAGATACGACAGTAGATACAAGGATTCATGAGATAGTGAAAAGCATGAGTTTGAGATTAGCTTTTGCACTATTGCTTCAAATGCTTCAGACTTTGTAGAGATAATCATTTAGATCAAGTAATCAACTTGCAGATTTGATCCGAATCAAACCGTATTTGGAATGATTGTAATTATTCCCACTTTGAAGAGAGTCTTGCAAACGCGTGCATCTGCTATCGATATGATGTACTAACGAAGTCAAAATTATCAGTTGCGGACTAGTTGGCTGTGTAATCAGCAGAGCCTCAAAACATCCATTACTACTTCTGACCGTAATGCCAAGATTTGCAATCAACCGCTATTGCTACGGCGCCGAAAGCTGTCGGATGTGATGAACCGTAAATCATGATAGCGAAGTCGTCCGCCGTAGGCAAGTCGGTTGGGCTACTAGCACAGCGCACACATGTACATTTTAAAATCCAACCTTAAGTGTAGTCTTGCAGGACTTTGTAATTTGCTGTATCTGCTACGGCTCTTGAGACTGGAGAACGTCATACGCCCTGATGACTAGCAGAATATGTGATTCTGGTCTATGAACCTCCCATATTAAGGGTACATCTTTCATCCTATTGGTCTGCCTCTTTCCAATAAGTTCGCACAACTTGCTGGAATCAACGAATCTTCAATTACGTCAGGATCTGAAACATACCAAATTCTTTCAACGTCTTGATTCGAACTTGACTATTCTATCTTACCTCATAACCTACCAATTGTTGCGAGAAATCTATCAACCAACAGACAATAATTTAAAGATGTCTTTCCAAACGAATTGCCAATGAACAATCAGAAAGTCCCTCAATTTCACCTGGGAAGTCGCAAGCCAATCCGAAGATTCGCACACGCTTGCAATCTCTTCCTATGGAGATTCTGGTTCGAATTTCTGAGCTGTCCATGAAGGAAAGAAGAGGAAAGTACAAATCCTGGCAACATCACACGCAACTTGCCGAACTTTATCACAAGCTGAAATGTGGCGTGAACGATCCATGGCGTAGAGGCTATATTTATACCCTAAATGCTTTGAGCAGAAACTGGGTCTACTCGCTTCACTTTGGCAATAAGTGGAAGCTACAAATGGATTCCGAAGAAGGTGGACTGGTACGGAATATTGTCATCAAATATTTACCTGAGATCTGGCCATATCGGTCTTCTTACTACTCGCCCTTTAGGTCTACCCAGACTATCAATGGTGCCTCCGAGGTCAATTCATCGGTGGAGCAATTAATCATTGTCAGAGACCGGGAGTCTTACTGCTGGAATCCAATGCCAGAGATAGTGAACTCGTCACTAGACAATTTACCAAACGTTTGTTCAATCCAACTAGAGTTCAAGACCTTCTGCGTTAGCCTCGAAGCAAAAGGCCTTGGTATGTGTAGAGCTTTACAAAGATTTATGGGCGATCATAAAGACTTCAAGCTCAAATCCGCCACAATTGAGCAAACGAGTAGAGCACTAATGCCAGTTGTGCAGCGAATTGTGATCCCGCAGGCCACCCTAATAGCAGGCCATGACGTCTGTTTTGATTTCACAGATAAGGGAATCTGGGAATTGAAAGCTTTTGCAGAAAAGGCAGATGCTAGAGTGGAGACTGTTGATTTGGATCTAGAAGATGATCAGGATTCAACGTTGTACAGTCATTTTGACGATATTTTCCAGGTGTTGAGAAGATGCAAATGGACGTGGGTATTTGGAAGAGAAGAGAAGTATTTCAGCAGCTTAGAAACAAAAGACAGGTCTGAAGATTAGCTGGTCATAAATTTATCTTACTGGATGCTACTTATATCAGAATGATAATTTAATGGAGTTGAGCCATTCCTGAAGCCAAAACCATGTAATTTGCGTGACAATGTCTCATGAAAAGAGTGATTGATCTTCTCATTTTCCAGGATGAAATCTGATCTGTATCCCCACCATTTTTCTTTGAGTCTTTACAGATATAGAGCGGGAATGAAGAAGTCGTATGAAGTGAAGTGAAGTGAAGTGAAGTGAAGTGAAGTCAGTTATCTAAGATCACCAGATGAAGTGAAGTTCAGATTACCTAAGAAGAAACCCGGGCACGTGGCCTGTGCAGCCACAGAAGAAATAGTATCACGTGAACGGTAGCTCCCTTATTCGCGGGGAAAAAAGATGGCAGAATTGATCAACCGAATAAATATTACAATAAATCAACGACAGGTCAAATTACGAGAGTTAATAGTATTTAAATCATAGCACCCTCCAAAAATATCGATTCTCCGACCCAAAATGCAACAATTGGATCATTGAAGGGGTTTTCTAGTGGACAATCCTGGCCTGGTTTTTCTTCCTGCGAATAGCCTTCTTCAGCATCGACGGGGCAATAAAGCAACCTGTGACATATCAGAAATCTGGAATTTTAGGTGATATCGTTCTCAGTATTTCTATCTCTAGCATTGGAGTCACAACATCCATAAAAACATGAAGAAGGTTGGGTATGTTTTCCCTCTCCAATTCAAGAACTGAAACTTGAGAACTGGAAGACGGCCGTATATATTATGATAAAAACCGCTGGTTTGCATTAGTGGTAATGCTTAGACGGTGGAAATAAGACAGTCATCATCACCATTGTAGCTTGTTTTCATCACAGCGCCGTCAATATACATGCTTAAGAACCTCCATCATTAAGTTTAGGATGTTTGATTTATTGGCCATGAACTGGAAACACCATAATCTACAAAGAATTCAGTATATGTTTGTGTCAAACAGATACATCTTATCATGATGATGATTTCATCAAGTCTCCGGGTATCAATTCCAGTCCCAAATGATCATAAACATATACATATCCTCCTCCCTCTCAATTAAAAATGCCAAATCCAATTATTTTGTAAACAATTGTCAAAAATTGAGATATGAAATGAGTCTTGTACTTTTATAAATCTTAGACTTCGTCATTCTAGGTACATAAGGCGTTGAAGAAACCACTGGAGAAAGAAGTATGCTTAAGCACCATCAGCTTCTTTCGTTATGCCGACATCCCCCTTGCAGGTTTGCACTTTTGTCGCTTAAGTCCTCGACCCTTTCCTTCACTTCTGCTGTCATCTTCTCGTCTCCACTTTTGCTTGGCATGATCGCAAAAGAAGTGACCTCTACTTTCAAACCATATTTGATGGTAGGTCTCTCTGAAAGTGGTCCGTCTAAGTTGTGAAGAGAAGAGTGATGACTGCCAACAGCCTGATATGAAAGGTTTTTGGCATTTTTGGTCTGCCATAGGAGGATAGAAAAATACGTCAGACGCAATGTGCAAGTGTTGCTTAGCGCTTTCCTTCCTGCTCAACGATTACCAGATCCGGATTGACATTGTCCAGCATGGTGACATCAATCCAAAACACTTCGCAAAAGTAACCAGCTTGAGCTGGGTGGCCCACTCACCCGCGTTCGACGTTTTCTTCAGGTACCTCCGAACAACTCGGCCCGCTTTTACAGTACTTGCCGCTTCGTTACCGACAGAGAGAGGAGAGCCACTGCCAGCTCTCCCAGTTCACATGGCGAAGCCCCTGTCTAGAGATAGTATGAGAAATGGTTTAAACCCATCTGGATGAGCCCGCACATGATTGATTATGCGATGGTAGATCACCATGTGATTTTTGAAATTGCCAAATATCTCATCTGAATTCGCCTTTTGTCTGAAAAACGCCAGTACCTTTTGGTCAAATAGGGAAGTCCCGAGGTCCCTTCAGACCATTGCCAAAACAGACACCTAGCATGCAGTCCTTCAGACCTTCAAACTACCATTCAAAATGCGGGGTTCAAACTCCGCCGCCATGATAGGGCTGAAAGTTTAGTCAGTGTATGATTTGAGAGACACGAAGCACTTGCCCAATGTAGCACGTGGCTTGCATATACATGTACGCCAGGGTAGGATTTGTTTAGGCAGTCGTTCTGAAGATATTCAGAAACATATATAAAAGAGATATTCCAAGACGGAATTCAGAAAGAATATTCTTGGCACGAAATATAAAGATATCACGAAAACGCTCGAGCCTCGGATTATCTCCGGAATATCTTCTGTGTCACAACACTCCACTCTCAGTATATATCCCAAGTGAGATATCTCTTGTTTCTGTTTCCCTTCAAACATTTGAATTCCATTGTCAAGAATCGATAGTAGCTACATTGACAATGTCAAATATTGTGGTTGTTGGGTTCGTTTTCTCAGCCCTTTCTCTCTTATCTAACTCGGAGTGACTGACGTCTCTGCAGCGCGGGAGTGTCCGGTTTAACCACCGCTTTACTCTTATCCCAAAATCCTAACTTCAAAGTCACTATTGTTGCAAAGCATATGCCTGGTGATTGCGACATTGAATACACATCTCCGTGGGCTGGTGCAAATTATCTTCCGTGAGTCACAATTTACCATTCCTCTGCCGGGCGAGATCGGGTAGAAAATGAGACATTAATACTCAGTTCACAGGGTATCAAATGCATCCGACTCTAGATGGGAGAAGCGAACATGGTACGAGCTCGCAAGACTAGCGAAAGATGTCCCAGAAGCCGGCATTCATTTCCAAAGTAAGTTCTTATGGTCCTCCCACTTTTGAGATGACTCTTTACTGACTCCATCAGACACTGTGATTTTGAACCGCAATAAGGATGCTCAAGGAATTACAGGTCAATGGTTTAACGAGTTACTCTCCACTGATCCTTGGTTCAAAGATGTTGTCCCTGATTTCCGTGTGTTACCACAAAACGAGATCCCTGCTGGTGCGGACAGTGCAACCGCATTCACATCAGTTTGCATCAACACGGCCGTTTATCTATCTTACCTCGTCGGCCAATGTCTAAAGAACGGTGTTGTACTTCAGCGCAGCGTCATTAGTCACATATCCGAAGCCGGCGATCTACATCACTCCGGGAGCAAGGCTGATGTGATCGTGAACTGCACAGGTCTTTTAGCCTCGAAACTGGGTGGCGTTATGGACAAAGATGTCATTCCTGTTCGAGGTCAAATCGTACTTGTACGTAATGATCCTGGTGTTATGCTAACTATTTCCGGTACCGACGATGGAGACGATGAGGTATGCTATATAATGAAACGTGCAGCTGGCGGTGGAACGATTCTAGGAGGCACATATCAAAAAGGAAACTGGGAGTCGCAACCGTGTCCGAACCAAGCTATGCGAATCATGAAGCGAGCTGTGGAGTTATGTCCTGCTTTGACGAATGGAAAAGGTATTGAGGCATTGAGTGTCATACGTCATGGAGTGGGACTGCGACCGTTGAGATTGAGTGGGGTTAGGATTGAGAAGGAGAAAATTGATTCTACATGGGTGGTTCATAATTATGGTCATGGGGGTTGGGGATATCAGGGCTCTTATGGATGTTCGGAGGGCACTGTGGAGCTTGTTGAAGAGGTTTTAGGATCTAAGTCTAGACTTTGAGCGCGATTCACTTATGATTTTTCTACATGCCCCAAGTGTGTCAGTGGGAAATAGTAGAGTTATCTATCGCCTTAATATTGTCTCCTATCTTGATACTTCTGCTTGTTGATCATCCAAGTGCGGAAGACCGCTAGATAATGCAACACATCGTTCACATGTCACAAGAAGCACCTCGTGAATAAGTGACATGAGCAAGGGAGCCCATGATCTAACCAATAACAAAGATCAGTCATCCCCCATATCTGGATAATTCCAAAGAGGAAGTGTCGCGCCCAGACCAAGCCATCACTGGGTTATAAGAGCAGCGTTGTAAGGGAGGCTCATAGTGCGGTAGAAACACACAGGCAAATGCGAAGTTCGGCTCTTTTTACAAGTGAAACAGGAAGCTCATTTGAAGGCTTTAGGACCTTGTTTCCTGTCAGCTTCATCTTCATATGTCGGTTGTGTAGGTGAAGACAAAATTATTAGCAAGTATTGTCACATATTCTCCATAGCCATTTTCACAATACAATCTTGTTTTGGTCAAAGTCTCACCGCGTCAGCCCCCTTTTTTTAAACGATCCGTCTGATTAAAGCACGTCAATCTTTTACCCGTTTATTGTATTCTGATGGTGAATAGGTAAAACAATGAAATAGACGGTGACAAACAGATCTTGTAGTTTCATAAATTGTCCTTGGAGTAGTAATCAGAGATACAGGTTGCGTTCTTCAAAAGGTCCAAGCAACACGAGTATGGCAAAGATCTGTGCCCACATCTGCTCCTCCTCTCTTGCTATCATACTTCTCCTTCATTCTTGCCTAATGACCATACCATTCTTATCAGTTCGCCAGACCGTCCATCGATAGCGGCGCATTAAATCCACCATCTCACTCTTCGGGACCATTTCATGACATACGATGATGATTTTGCGCAGTGTTGGTATGGTGATTCTCAGTTGCGTATCGACATGTGAGCAGGCGCCTTGAACGAATTGTGAGTGGTGGGCATCCTGGTTCGCTTCGGTTGCGCATATAGGATTGAAGCTATACAGTAGAGTTTCTAACGTTGTCAAATTGGTGAATTGTCGAAGAAGCTCCAGACTATCTACATCATCTTCATTGAGCGCATATTTTCCTGGCTCGTCTTTGACGCTCTTCACAGAGGGAAAAATTACGCAGATGTGAGACATAAGACTTGCGTTCACCGGCCCAACGGAGTGTAGAAAGGACTGTAAGAATTTGGTCTGGCACCCCATTGTATCCATAAACACGAAACGATTTCGTCCATAAAGTGCAACGCTGGCCTCCTCGCGCATTTTTCGATTGGTGTACAGTAATGCATGCCATTTACTTGATCTCCCTGGGATTACTGTTTTGACCGAGTCATCATAGATCTGAAAAAGATATATTCCTTGGGGTACAACTAGCACTCTTTGGTAGATGTCGTCGCGAATTTTGATAGGTAAGTCAAAAAAACTGAGGACAGGTGAGGATGTTTGCGAAACATAGATATCACTCGTTATGTTAGCATCCATAGCAGGCCACAGGGAGAGAATCTAGAAGCTTGATAGAAAGAAGAAACAGCCAAGGCCTATGTAAACCTTGTTATAAAATGGAGTGGGAGAGAGAGGAAAAGAGAAAGAGAGAAAGAGAGCTGAAATCGAAACAAAAAGCCATCGTATGTTTCGGTATTGGTGTCGGATCCCCTAGTTGCAGTATTGTATGTATGTCAAGAGTCGTGGTATGCACGATGATTGATTGGGCGACGACAATGCTACATCGGCATCTTTATCGCCGACTTGCTGATCATACTCAACCACTCACTCACTCTCCCACTTGACGACTCATGCCTCACCTGAAGACTTCCTATGCTTGCTCGATGTGACCACTTGATGAGGGCCTTTGGAGCTTAACTATCTTTCGAATCCCTTGCACTTAGGTTGTATTTGATTTTCATTCTACTCTATGTATCATGACCATGCTCGTCAACGTTTCTGATCTTGACCTTCAGTTTGGGCAATTTCAGATGTCCTAAATCTGATATCGCAAACAGGACGATCCGTTGGGGTCCATAATGAAAGTGTTTTTGAAGAGTATATCACAATTGGAGAACTACCCCAAAATATCGACCTTTCAGCATGAACAAAAAGCAGAACTATTAAAGACAGGAATGTACATGGAAGGAATGGGTGAAATGGGTGATTTATCCACACTTAAACTTTGCACTTGGAACTCTGGCTTTCTTCGCAACTCACCCCTGAGAGATTGGTCTATCGGCATTGTAAAGCACACAGCAACAATGTATTGCATCAAGCATCTCTGAGTTGCGATTATACAATGTTCCGGTACCTAGTATAAGCTCCTTCAATAGGAGGGCGCGAATCAGACAGACGACCAGAACAACAAAGTTCTCGCGTTGATATGAAACCCCCTCGACTTGACAAGATCAGTATAAGTCGGCATGAATACTGCTATCAAAGATGATGGATGCACTTGAGAATAGCTCATTTGAGTCAGCCAAGGTTATCTACCAGAGGCAACGCATTTTGATCAAAGCAATGTTTGGTTGATTGATTGGCATCGAATTCGAACTTCTATCGAAAGGCATGAGTTTGATGTCTGTCTTTCTTTTTGAGTAATGAGGCAGGGGAAGGGAAGAGATATGAAAGATTAATATTGCAACAGGATATAGTCCTAGGATAAATGTATTAACAAATGATGAAAGTCGAATGTTTCCCTCTTCAAGAGATTTGAAATTGAGAAGCAACAAAAATACAATAATAATTCATCTATAATCTGGTATGAAGATAACAATACTAGATAATTATATTGCTAGTAAGTACAAATATACACCCAATCTAGATTTTAATTATTCACGTACCCTTTGTTTTATAAATTCTTGGCAAAATCTTTGTGTTCCATCGCAGGTGAAGTGAGGTGCGTGCACCAGCTTTCAAATATCTTCATCTGTTTTGATCCTGCCTAGTATCTACTGAACACATTACAACCACAACCACAACGTCCAATTACGGGAAAATCTACGATTCCTAAACTCTCCACGAACGAAAGATAATATATCAATTAAACACGGAAATCCTCATACTATAGCAACGATGGATTACTCTGATGCTTTGTGAGTTTCCCAAAACTTGCTTGCACCGTGCTCGTTGCGCGGCTTTGAGCTTGAGCCCGAGATTGAGGGCTGGACCGATTGATGATGGTCGAGGGATTGAGGCTGCAGCTGGAACTTAAGAATATATGCTGCTTCTTGGTAGATTCAATCGATTGGGTCATGGCAGACGATGAAAGTCCAAAATGATAAATATCGATTCAATTGGAAGCTCCTCAAGCTCCAGGGCTTCATCAAGAGCTCTCCCCAACCCTCAACCACACCAGACCTTACCGCCCAGTGTCCGCGAATGAATGTGCCAGCTCAAAGCTCATTGTTGAAGACGAGACTAATCATATATTCTTCTTAGCCGACTTGTCAATTTGGCAGTAGGTGTTTTTATGGTTCTTGGTGGAATTTCCCAATTCTTTCCTTTGGGCTTGTAAGTAACATACATATCCATGCGACAGCAAGAATCGAGAAATTTGCTCTTTCTAACATCATCGTAGCCAATCTATTATCATTGGATGTTACGTTATCATATTCGGAATCTGTAAGTTATCCTCATACTATATCGCCCCGCGCATTAAATATACTAACATTTTCCAGCACTGCTCTCTTGGTTCGTCTCACCCACCTCAGTTCCACAACAATCCCATATCACAAAACCTCGATTTTGACTTCAAATGAGCCTGCCAAAACATGCCGCACTTTTCACTAATACCAAATTATAGAATTCCAAATTCAACCACAAGTCTCGCGCTATGCATCCTTCCTCTTTTCCTTCGTTGGACGAGGAATCTGTACGTCGCTCTCCACATCCCCATATACAACACCCACCACAACCAAGCAAAAATAAACATCCAAACCTAGTCTACGTATTCGTTGGAATCCATCCTCTTACACGACCAGTCTTTGCGCATCATTGCCGGTTTCTTTGATTGGTATAATCGGTCTTATTTACATTGGTCTCGAGTTTGTTCCATCTATCGAGCAACCTGCGAAAATAGGTAAATTCCCAATCCCCCCCTTCCCTTCCCGCCCCCAAATCGCATCTATACAGTTACAGTCTACACAAAACTTTTTGCTAATGATCATTCCCAAAACAGAGAAGCAGATGGAGGATGGGGCGCCGAACAAGTCTAATCGCATCGCACACCTCCACCTCCGTTCGAGTTTCAAGGCTCTTGAACCGCGATCACTCAATTCGAACCAGATATCACTCATATCTCCTACGATACGCACAATACCTCGATACCGCATCTACTTTTTCCCTCGCAAATACTACCTTAGCCACTATCCATTTATTGGTACTAAAGACGCGAGTTTCCAGAAAAACAGCCTTTTATTACATATCATATTATCTCTCTTCCACCGAATCACCGAATCAAATTAGCTATAGAATGGACGGTGACATGTCGAAACATCTCCTTACTATTTCTCGCGTGTGTATGTATGTACGTCAACCAGTCTTCAATAAAAGCAAGATACAAAATCCAAAGCCGGGAGATTACAAAATTCACATTGTGAGACTTTCAACTTGGAATTATATAATATTGATATAATGTTTTTATTTTGCTCAGACTCATTGGACTGCATTGCATGTGTCGAGGGTCTGTTCTGTCATTTTTTTGTTCCGATGGAACTGCATGCAACCTATCTTACTTCCTGAGTCTTGGACTCTGCATCTGTTTCATGTATACATTAGAGTTGCAAAATTGTGCATCTAGCACTCCCAATATCAAAAGCCTGAACCTGGCACTGAAGATATACCAAAGAGAAATCCTGCACGCCTCTTGCCATTCCGATGTTACACTGATAATAAGTATAATGAAATCCCCCATTCATTAAACGGCAGAGGGGTATCTGTATCCCATCCCATTCCGATTATGTAATGACCCCGAAAAAAAGATCCCCTGGTAAACTCCCATCGTATCATGCAGTGTGTGGCCCAGTCCTCAAGGACAAACTCGCTCACTTCCAAACCCCTATTCTTACTCACTTTCCTTTCCTGTTTCGTGCACATCGTATTCTTTCCCATATCTGCAATAACCCTGCGAGAAAATTCACAAAGTAAACGCACATTCGTAAATTCGTAGCTTTCTTTTTCGTCCAATTTACCGGAAAGGCTAGTGTGGTTGACGGGTAAATATTAATCCAACCCGGTCTCCCAATTCAGCAATTCTCTTTTCCTTGCCTTTAAAGCCTCCCTCATCTTTTCCGCTTCCCTCTGTAGCCATCTCCCTTCTCTCCGTTTTTGCGCGAATCGCTTCACTTGCCGGGTCTTTCGCACTACTCAGTGCACTTCCAGCTCCACTACCCGAGGGACTGGTTGAGTAAGTAGCAGGACCGACGGTACTAAGACTCGGGCTAACAGCGGCAGAATACCGGCTAGGACTTAATCTCAGACTATCGGTTCCGCGGCGGAAGCTAAGGTCATTTTCGGGATTAACATCAGAATCGGAATTTGTGAAGCCGTGGTTCAGTATCGATTTTATGGATGAGAGACGCTTAGGTAAGCTTGATGCATGTGCAGAGTCCGAGGAGAGGGAATTACTTGGGTCCATATCAGTAGCGGAAAATGATCGTTTTCGAGAAGGGGAGAGATAATTGTTGGGCGATACGGAAAGTCGATTATGGATTGGCGAAGGATATGATGCCATTGGTGGCAGTCGATTATCATTAGTCAAGGAGTCGAGATTTTGGCCTTGATAATTTGGATTCGATGTATAGGCGCCAAGATCAGATGGTGGATGTTGTTGATGCTGATGCTGGCCATTTTGTGTCCAGATTGGTTCGGGCAGGGCTCTTCCTGGGTCGTTGCGTAAGCGAAGACCCAAATTCACTGATCCGTCAGGATTCATTGTGCCTCGCTCAACTACCTCTTCAGGTGAAGCACGATCGGACTCTGGCGAATCCATTGTACTACTGGTTTCGTAGCTGGATGCTTGAGAACCTTGAACTGCTGGAACTACCCTCTTACGACGCTTGATGATTGATTTCTTCATAGTCACTGGTCGATGCACACCATGGAGTTTATAATACAGCCCTATCATGTGTCAGTTCGGATGCGTTTCTAGCTTGTCGATTAACTTACCACAAGCGTTACAAATTGTGTGACCACTCTCATCTCTACGCCACAGCGGTGTGATGGTAGTTCCACAGTTTTGGCAAGCTACAACGACTGTGGTATTTTGTGCTTGTAGTTGGAGGGATGCGACATCAATCGGAGACGGCGCATCTGTTGCTTGATCATTTTGCGGCTGTGGTGTTTGTGTTGCTTGCCTATCTTGACAAGAAGTAAAGTGAGCGGTTTTTGAGACACGATTGTTGAAAGCTGGGCATCCACCACAGCCTTCGGCGCCTCCAGTACCATTGCAGCGTCCACCACCAGGGCATGTTCCTGTGGAGGTTTGATCTGCAGAAACATAGGTTGCGCCAGCAGCAGGAAGTGAAATTGACCCGCTCGCAGAGGGAGATTCCCGTTGATCTCCAGAATAACCGATAGGAGCAGTGGTTGGTGGACGTTTTAGATTTGTGGGCCGAGAAGCATTGCGAGCTTTTTGATATAAGCCACAGGCATTGCATATAGTTGCTCCTTGCGGAGATCTTCGCCAAAGTGGTGTCCTAGTTGTGCCACAATTACTTTAAAAAGTTAGCCACAACTACCTACAAAGCAATTGTCTTCCATACCTGCATATTTGATTAGATTGAATCTGCTCCACGCCCGGGGACGATGCAGGGATGCTGGCCTGGGAACTCTCTCTTTGACTCCGCTCTAACGAGGTATCCCTAGGACTGTGGTGATTTACTGGAATGCCAGTAGTCATGATTCTATCCGAATTTTTATAGTCGGCATTAGATGAGATGCTATGGGTGTTATCTCTTTCTTGTTGGCGCTGATCGTCGTATCTTGAAGAGTTTGCGGTTCCGATCAATGGATTGCCTGCTTCATACTCTTCTCTGGTAGGCTGTTCCATTGCAGCAACAGCCGATCGAACGGGAATCACTTCCTGCCTCCGTTGATGCGGAGATAATGAGCCTTTGTTACTCATATTGGTAAAAGGATGATCCGACTTAAAGCCAATCGAAGGAGCTGTTTGAAGTGCGCAGCACATATGGCTTCCTGAAAACGTTGACGTGTCTCGGAAATATGTGATTTCTGACGGGCGGAGAGAAAGGAGTAGCTAACGTCAAGAGATATGATGAGAATACTCTCAAAAGTAAGAATCGAGCTGTAATGTTCTTTATGGAGTAGTGAGAACTATAACGCCTTTGGATAAGGAGGAAGACTTTGCTGTTGAAATAGCGTGAAGGTGATGTCGATCGTTTTTAAATCTCCTCGTCCAGTTATAGCTGGGGTGGCGAGATGATATGGTCGCCGATGAGGTTATCCTACCGACGTTTGGATGCGTATGAGGAGGCAGGGTTAGATTGCCTTTGAATCTTAGCTTGGTCTCCTAAACTCTACTTGCGCTAAAAGATACAAGCTGCTAGGGGGTGATGCAGTAAAGATTGGTGCTTATGTTCGGGAATGCTGTGAAAATACTGGAGATTACTCCTAGAATGAAATTGGAGCCCAGTCAACGTTTGCAAGATCCAGAAGGCCCTGAAGATAATTTGAGGGTTTCGTCCTAGAGACTCGGGGCTAGAACGTCTGATAAGGATTGAAAGTCTGTTATCCAAGGAGTTGGCCTGGTTAAGTGGAAAGTCAGCTCGACAACGTGGTAATGGTTATTGAAATAGACTTGACAAAAATAACGAGTAAGCTATGCAAAATCCAAGTGCTAACAATAATGCAATTCTCTATGTTGTGGTCGTGATTGTGATTTGCGGTTGCACGGGCCAAGTTTATATTGGAGCGGGAAACAGAGCCTACAATGCACTACGCAAACTTCGACTTTGCCATTGTTGAATGGGAGCAATGGCAATGCGATCAACCTCTTTTGCTCTAGTAAAGGCTCCAGAACAAATAAAAGGGGGTAGAGTGACGGAAAATACAAGTGTTGAGATATCGTGCTGTGTTACCTACCTAAATGCGCTTGGATTTAATGGCTTTTGGATCAAAATGATCGCCGTGATCTCCGGAATTTCGAGCACGAGAAAAGGAATATTGAAGTTGATAATATGAGGAAGGATTGAGCGATTGCGATTTGATTTGACTTCACTCATGCAAGCCCAATTCCTTGTCTGACACAAGTTTTGCTTGCTTGCTCTCACTGAAATCCGTGACTGAAGATTGATTCGATAAAGTCCAGTGACCAAAGTTAACCTTCCTCTCCTCCCCCTTTCGGATGTTTCACAGGACCCTTTCTTTCTTTCTTCGTCTCTCCTTGAATCTGGGTGTCGTCGTTCTCTTTTCCTTATTCGAATGTGTGGCTTTTGTCATCCATAATCTGTAATGTGTAATACTTTGTAGAATCCAAATATCGGTGAGATGAGTAAGGTCAAGTCAGGGGGTTTGGGGGCTGAATGGACTGGAAGGAATATCAGAAAGAGTATCCTGCTTCCCTTCACGGTGGTAGTGACAACAAGTGAAGGAGACGGGAGTGAGAATTGTGAAGCGTGAAGATGTTTTGAACTCCTCTTCGCCCTTGAGACGGTGTGGACGGTGTGGTCGGTGTGAAGGGGGAGTCCTGTTGTACGAATGGCTTTTTCGAAGATTCCAATGAGTTTTTTTGGATGGTCGGTACTCGTGCAGTAAGGACGTACAGTAGTAGAAAAAGGCTTTAGTGACCTAGTGGGTAAGCGTGGTAAGGTTGGAAATTGATCGCTCCCTAGGTAAGTTATGCATACACACAGCAGTGCACTCGCTCCTCTCAATCAAGAAACACCTGGAGTCCTGGAAAGGCAAGCGTCACTTGCGCATAAAGAGTGGTTCTATTACGATTAGCGTGAGCTAAATTATCTTAGCGTGGTCATTCACATTATCTTACTTTTCATTGGCTCGCTTACGGCATCACTGCACAAAGATTTAATGCAGGGTCGAAAAATTGAATACTTATCGATACCTTCCTGGCATTTCCCTGGTACCTTCCTCGCATCGCGCAGGCTGGTACGGCTGGAACTTGGGATCGAGGGAGGTAAGCAAAGAAAAGGTCAACGGCCGTTGGTCCAACATGCCGGGTATCACTTCACTCATCTTCCGATTGCTTCGAATGTCCAATATTACGGAGCAACACATGAGATAAAGGTCACGAGACATGGACGCTAGCAGAGTCTCCCTAAGCCTATCTGGGTACTGGATATATCTACTTTTCCATTTATCGTTAGATGGGACTCACTTCAAGAGAAAGAGAAGAGGACCGATGATTATATAATCAAGATTCTACCATCACCACATGTCTTGAACCAATCGGTATCAAGAACAAGTACAAGGGAAGAAGATACCTACCAAGCTTTTATCTGATCTATACATATACGGAGTATGTACCACGTGCAGAGTACAGAGTACAGAGTACAATACAAAATGCATAGTACAGTAGAGTGTAGAGTGTAGAGTGTAGAGTGTAGAGTGTAGAGTGTAGAGTGTAGAGTGTAGAGTGTAGAGTGTAGAGTGTAGAGTGTGTAGAGTATCAAATAATATTACTTACTTACCTACCTACCTAGGTACGAACTTGACCTTCTTCACAATCGACATCGACAGAGCCAACTCCTATGAAAAGAATACATTATGTAATAATATCGCATCATTGGAACGCTATCTTATCTAACCATAGAAGTGGGCGGCATCACACATCACATTTATCTCTTGGAACAATTTGTTCACCGGCGACCACATATCAATCACATTTCACTTCCTCAACGAAAGCCCTTTTTCCATAGACCTGAAAGGATTGTTCTAGACCATTTATAGTCCTCAATGCCCATCGCTTCCATTTCTCCAGAGCACAACCGCTACATGTACCTAGGTCATCTGCTGGCAGATCTAAGTATACGGTTACACTAAGCTATATTCTCAGCCAATCACCTTCCATACAGATGAGATGTGTTTCTCCATTTGCTTTTTCCGCTCCTCATTATCGCTTCCAGAATGCAGGCGAACGTGTACCCTGTCAAGGGATTCGTGGAACAGAATTGCCACTGACTATCGGACTATTGTACAATTGTACAATCCCAACTCCGATGCTACAAGATGTCTATCGAATGTGAACAGCGGCATGGATATTTCAATGTTGGTCACCTTACGCGCCTATAATCGCTGCGTCAAATTTCATACTCAAACACATCGGTGGTACAATAAACCAGTGCGGAAAAAAAGGTTCCAACGTACAAACGTACTTCTTCTACGTTGAGCTTTTCTTGACTTTGGTATTTCCTCTCAACTACCTACAGTACTTGTTTCGGACTGAAATTCTGGTGGTTCGTGATTGGCATATGTATAGTTCGCACACACCTCGTTTGCATTCCTTTTCGTACCCCCAATCCACCAGCCACGCCAACGATCCTCCTTAAAAGCCCCCAGTAGGATCCTCAGCCTTATCCTTATCCATGAGTTCATCTCGTGTTTGTGTTCAACTCGAGATGGTCAACTATTTTCGGTACAATGCGATACAGCACATCCTCCTCAGAGTGTGGATGTTTTACCAGTACGTATGCAGTGTGGACCAATTATTCCACCTCTTGAGTTCGAAGAAGTCAACCGTAAAGTTAGTCTCCGCAGACATAATTCATCAGCACTCCCGCTTAAATGACAAGAGTCTATTCCGATGTCACGGAATCTCAAATGCTACATTGGTATCTACCCAATCAGAGCCTACATCAACAAAATTTGAACGGCTCCGACTAATGACAAGAAACGCCCCGCGTTACAACCATCAAGTACCTCACCCTGTCAAATACTATGTTAAAGGTTACTTTATCGTCTCTAGTCCAACAGTCGTGGTAATGTGACCGTCAAGTCTCCACGGGTAACAATTTCTGTTATACGACAGCGGCATGGAATATATTTTCCTTTGCCGAATCCGAACTTACCCCGTCGGTGCAAAGACCCGAAATCATACAGCATGAAAGAGGGATGAACTACATCATACAAACAAACTCGTCCCTTGCAAAGGCACAACATGATTATTGGCCAAGAGAGGAGGAATCGAGATTACGGATTCGTGGCTCGAGTTCCCCCTCTTCATACATCTCAATTATCAAAGTTTCACAACATTGATATTAATGGACCTTACCTATCATCGAGATCCACGAATATATTTCGAGAGATTTATCCTCATCCTTGAGGTTGATCCTTGGGCTTGACACCATGTAACATCAAAATGCTATAGCTGTGCAACCAAACAACGCATGGAGCCGCCGGCCTACATATACGGTACCATTTCATCCATTTACCTGGCGAAACTCAAATCCTCGAGATTCCAGCCATGCAACATCCCGATGACAAGGTATAACTATAGGGATAATGTTGGTCGCCGAATGGCAGGTAACGGTACGGCATCACGTAGGTCTTGGGAATCCAATTAAAATCCCGCCACACATCTATCGTTCCCATCTGATAGCAAGCATACTTGCCCAAGTAAGTGAAACCGAACTCTTTTGTAGTCGAGTCTCTTCCAACTCAGTCTCTTCCTTATTCGACAAACTTTTCCCCCAAGATATCTCCTTACGCGCATCGGACGTAGCACCAAACACTCGGCGAGTTTTTGTCCTTCTTGTCAAGTGCCGTACGGAGGTATACTGAACGGAACGAAACAAACTTCCCGAGTTACAAGTGCCTTCCTACATATATCTCATGGGTCCATGTAGCACGGCGAGTATGCTGCGCAATTGAGTATATCCATGCATGCATGGATGCAGAAATATCAATATCAGATCCGGACCGAGACCTTTCATACCCTACAAGGCGACACTAGAATGTCAAAGCTACTTGGAATAAGTATGGATATGTCACTTGTAAGTACTTGGTACACCGCCAATTTCTGAGCATGAATTTGAATATTGTCTTTGCATCTGAGTAGCCATGCGGGGAATATCATCGGACCATTTTGAAATCTTTCAAGAAAAGAACAGGCTAGACTCTACCTTTTTTCTCTCAACCCCCATTTCTCCTTTCTCTTCTCAAGATATGTCTGTCATATTCATACAAGTACGAGTACGAGGAAGAAGTACAAACACATTGATCTCTCATACCATCAGTTAGAGACTAGTATCTCTACCGTACAGTATACCCCGCCATCACAGCCTCACACGGGCAGAGAATCATCCTATTTCAAAATACGAGTGGCTCACTCAATTCACATAACACACCACCAATCATAATAACAAAATACAAACAATGTAAACCCAAAGTCTCACTCATAATTTCTTCAACCTCTCAGCCCCCACCCTCGAATGACCATTACTCACTCATAACCGATACCTTTCACTCCAGCCTCCAAGTCCACAGTTGCAAACATCCCGCACACAATATCAAAAGAAACCCCAACCATCTGCTCAGCCAGCAGATGCTACCCCCCATCCTTCACCCTCTAGCCACCAAATATCCACCATTTCCATTTCCATTTCCATTTCCTCTTCCTACAGACCACCCTATCCCATTGAATCCCATCATAACCCTCCCTCCTAGCCCCTCTCTCTCCTCCTATACTCACCCACCTATCAAGCTCCGAACACCCAATCCAATCCAGATCTCCCCATCCATTCCTCGCATCTCCCTCTCATCTTCCCCATTTTGCAAGATTTCAGGATTTCAGGATTCCAAGATTCCACATCTCCATCCTCATTCTCGGCTCTTCACTCCTAGCTTTTCATTTTAACCACTACAGACATATATACAATCATTAACAACAACGACAACAGCAACAACAACAACAACAACAATAACGATATCTTCCTCACAAATGACCCACAAATATATCGATATCTCTATCTTTCGGATTTTTTGGAGTTGCTTCAGTTGCTTCACTTCTATCAATCCTATGCCCAGCTCCCTTCCCCCATCTCCCTTCCCCCAGACTCACAATCCACTAGCCACCTCCATTTCCACCTCCATCCATCTCCACACAATGCAATCTAATGCAATGCAATCCAAGAACCCAAAATATCCACCACCTCCACCACCTCCAACACAATCCAAACATTCAAAAATTCAAACATTCAAACATTATCCGCCTGCACCTGCACCTACAGCCCCAACAACTTCAAACTTCAAACTTCAAACTCCCCTCCATTTCTTTCATCTCTCCCTTTACCCTCCCCTCAAACCCCCAACCAACACAACAAAACAAAACAAAGAAACCCCCATCACCCCCCATCCCCATCCCCCATCCCCCCAGTCCTATCTACATCTACACACCCCCTCACCCACTCTTAGAAACATAACCCAAATCCTAACTCCAAACAACAAATCCCAACTCTCCAACCCTCTATACTCCTCACTCATCACCCAAGCAAGTACCGCATACCAATCTCTCATTACCTACCTACCTAGGTAATCGCAGTCTCCAGTTTTCCAATTTTGTTCGCAGACTCACTCAGTACAAGCCATTATTATTGAACTAGATTACCTAGATCTAAACTCTAATTTAGAAATACGTGATTTCATCAGCTCACCACCTCGATCCTTTCCTTTCGTTATTTTATTTTATCTTTCCCCTTCTCATCACTTTATTGCACTGTCTCTCCATCTACCTAATCATTGAAATTCCAGCTTCCAATAGATACACAGAGATTTCATCGCAAACACAAATAGTTTTTCAATATGTCCTTTTTCATTGTAGTGTATACATTTATTTTTGGAGAGTATGATGTCTCATCCTGGCACTACATATTTGAAGTGATGAAGTGAACTAAATTGACCAAAGAAATTCGTGCACGCTTTCTCAACCCCT